ACATACCAAGTTTAAAGAAATTCTATTGAACAGTTTTTATTTTGCCTATATGTCTATATGAAAACTCATGAAAACAATTATTCTGGACAAACAAAGCGAGCTAATGATCTGAAATTTTGAACATAAATTGTTGGTATAGACCTTCATCAGATGGAGTAATAATCTCAAAAAAAATATTTCCAGTCAAAACCTCAGTGGAGTCCCTTTAAAACCATAAAAAATAGACTGAATAGCAGTAACGTCCTTTCGTATCACGCTCGAGTGCGATTACAGATTTGCTTGAGCATTTGACGTACTTGAGCATGTGATACACGGATTGATTTAATAAAATAGATGTACAGTCTATGTTTTATATCACATTGTCTTTTCTCTCACGTGCCTTTTTATTTTAAACCACTCCAGGTATGGTGACTGATTTACACCATGCCGCACTTCCGTTTTTGTTTTGTTTTTTGCCAAGAGAATGCCAAAATGCGAAAAAACACACGAAAGGACGACAAAATAAGGCAAAAATACTTTACATAAAATGTGCGTGATTTTGCAATTTTGCTTTTTTGCGGCAAAAATGCAACAATACAAAAACATGAACATACGACAAAGTAAAACTTCGCCGTGTTTTCGAATTTTCGACCTTTTAGCATGACAAATTAAAACAACACGAAAAAACGACATGGCGTTTATCAACCACCATAACCGGCAATGTTATAAATGCACATAAAACTTAGTAATGCTGTCATGTCACGTTGATTTTAATTTGAATAATAAATGTACCTCTAAGTATATTCAACACTATGTAATATTCTGATTATGCAAATAAAAACCAACTTTTTAATCACTATCTACTCTGAAAGAAGAAATCATTCCCCCGTATATCAAATTTTATGGCTATTTTATATCATTATTATATTATTATTATGATTATTATTACGATTATTATTATCATCATCATCATCATCATCATCATCATCATCATCATCATCATTATTATTATTATTATTATTATTATTATTATTATTATTATTATTATTATTATTATTATTATTATTTATCATCATTTTGTTGTTTAAGGTTTTGTTTTTAAAGGAGGAACATTATACTGCATTTGGTTGCACTGAGTGTGGCAATTGATTCATTAAATCATAAAAAGATTATATGTATTTTCTGTTGCCATTAATATACTTGTCAGGCATTTATTATCATGTATAAAATATATTTTGTACATGTTTGTAGAATTATGTATCTGGCTTCGTTATGGGAAAGTTCCGGTAATTTCTAAATAATGTGTTATCAATAATATTCTGTTTAGATTTCAGATTTTACATGCATTTTATGATTGTGAATTAAATTATATCAAACTGATCTTTCGCAAAAACATCCAACGTAGACAGCTGGAACACAGTTTGGAGATCGATTCGGTTATTACGTTGCTAAATTAGAAGTCGTGAATATGGTGGTTTTTTATTTGTTTGGGTCGTCAGACCAAACAAATAATGGTAGCGAAATTTCAGAGTCTAATGTTGTTAATTGCAAATGCCGAAAGTAGTCCACGTTTTTGAAGCGGTTACTTCCCTTTTGTATGTACACTTAAGCCGAAAAATTCAGGGGAGATCACTGCGTAAAGATGGTTAAAGACAGGCGCATCAATTTTCAAGCAAAGTAATTCCCGAAGGGTCGAAGATTTCTATTATTGTTTTATTGTATTTTCTGATCGAAAATAACTAAATACAAAGCGGACATTCAATCTCTGACACAGACGTTTACGACAAACCTAACAACAAGTAGTTCTCAAAACAGCTTAAAACTAGCGATTTAAAAGAAAGAAATATTTTATTTTGTTACAAGTATCCAACAAATTACAACGCATTTAAAGTTAAACAATAGCGTTGGCTTATAGAATTGTCAATAAATGCACAATCACAAATTACGCGGATGAATATGATTTTATCAATGAGAATACTATTTACTACCGAATACTACACAAACCGAGTAGTGGAATATATAGATTCTACATGTCGGACTGTTTGGGCGAGAGGATTTTCGCTAAAATATTTACTTCAATTTTAAACAACAGGTTTACCCTGAACAAAATACCTCGAAATTAATAAGGATTACAAACCCGAAATGCAATGGAAGTTCTAAATTTAGAATGACTTGATATTATTCAGACTTTCTGTGTATAACATCTCCGTGGTACAGTGGTAACGCGCTCGCTTAGTGAGTGAGAGGTCACGAGTTCGAATCCCAGTCGAGGAAACTTTTTTTTTTTTGTTAAATTCTTTTTTAAGTGTTTTTGTTAAGGAATTAGCCATGATATGCAAGGATAAAGTGTGACTGTCGTAAAAAAATGAACATAAATGATTTTTTGATGCAACTCTAGTTATGCAGAATTCCGTATGTATCAAACTCTGGTGCCTTGCAAAATGAATTATAATACATAAAAATAAACCTATACAGGAAAATGCATACAGATATACAGTACGATTTAGATTGCAAAGATCAGAAAATACCACAGAACTTGCAGCCCTTTGATTCTTTATAAATATAAATGCTTATAGTAAGCTCCAGGATTATTTACATCTGTGTTAAACAACACTTAAAGTCGTTACAAGCCCTAATTTATAATAATATGGTTTTCTTCAGCCCGTTCACATATAAATTCACCGTGGCTGAAGGGTTTTCGGGCTCGCTTAGGAAGCGAGAGGTCTGGAGTTCAAATCCCAGTAAAGGTAACTCATTTTTTTTTCAAATTGTTAAAGTCAAATAAACATTGGATTGAATATCAGTGTTGCAATTAGTGTTATAGCCAATTTTCTACAATTAAAACGCTGGAAAGCATTGGTGGCACTATACATATAATATCACAACCTGCACCTTTCTTACATTCTGAGACCCAAACAAATTCAGCGCCTTCTGTGCTTTGATTATGCCATGTCGTATTTTCGCTTTTTTGTCTATGTTTTTGTTTCTGAAATCTCGTATTCTCAAGGCGAAAAAGCAAAAAAAAACGGCAAAGTTTGGCGATAATACGACGCATAAGATGTATTTGCATTTCCGCATTCTTGATTTTTTTTGTATTTTTGTTTTATTGCAGAAGTACGTTATGCAATTCAATTATAAGTTACCATACTTTGTCATAAATTATCTTCTAGCTTTAGCATTTTTTGCGACATAACGTACATCAGACATCAAAGTCCGCCATACCTAGAAGAAGGAGCAAACTGAATAGTAAACCAATTATTTCTTTTAATTGTTAAAGCGTGTATTTAATTATCTAAATATTATTAGATGTTTATTAATATATATTTAATTATCTCCCTTTTTATACATTTTCTATTTATGCAAGATTTTGTTGTTGTTGTTGTTGTTGTCGTCGTCGTCGTCGTCGTCGTCGTCGTCGTCGTTGTTGTTGTTGTTGTTGTTGTTGTTGTTGTTGTCGTCGTCGTCGTCGTCGTCGTCGTCGTCGTCGTCGTCGTTGTTGTTGTTGTTGTTTGTTGTTGTAGTAGTTGTTGTTGATGATGTTGTTGTTACTGCACTTTACCCTGGTGTTGTCTGTAACAGACATGTATAAAATTTAAACCGTTCAGTCTCTGCAGGTGCATAATATATATATATATATTATATATATTATAATATATATATATATATATATATATATATATATATATATATATATATATATATATATATATATATATATATATAGCAAATAATTCATGCGCCGTCTCGTGTCTGTTGACTTCAGAAGAAAGTTCTACTAATATTATAGTATAAATCAGTTAACAATTAACAATTAGCCCTGAATGTAATTTTAATTGTTTTGACATATCACTCATACAATGTTTGTTTGTTCTTACATGTTTTTTATGTTGCCATTGTTGTTGTTGTTGTTTAAGATATACTATGCTCAAATTTGATATTAAAAATATTGATAATTGCTACATAGATTTTGTTAATATAAAATAAACATGTTTTACTTCACATGAATTAGATATGCTATATTTAAAATTCTACACACTATGAGTAGTCATAATATGCATATACAGGTACATGTACATGTATAGTGTCATTAAAAAAACTGGCAGCAACTTGACTTGACCAGCAATATGGAACGCTTCCCATACATAGTTTATTCATTTTTTATTCAAATAAGACATATTCAGTAAGAATTTCAAAGACTTCAATACATTTCTGTGATTAAAATATTTTACGTAAAGGCACATTTTGCGTCAGAAACGAATAAATTATTACTTCGTTAGAAAGGGCAAACATGAGTTTTATAACATTTATATAACGGTATTAGAGCATGTTTGATGCTTGTTTGCACTAAATGTGAAATGAGCCGTGTCACGACAAAACCAACATAGTGCGTTTGCGGCCAGCATGGATCCAGACCAGCCTGAGCATCCGCGCAGTCTGATCAGGATCCATGCTGTTCGCTATCAGTTTCTCTACTTGTAATAGGGTTTGTAAGCGAACAGCATGGATCCTGATCAGACTGCGCGGATGCGCAGGCTGGTCTGGATCCATGCTGGTCACAAACCCATTATGTTGGTTTTGTCGTGTCACGGCTCAAATAATTTGTTACAAAAGTAACAAAATGTAAACAAAGTAGTATTTTAACTTCCATACTAAATACTAAATCACTGTTATTGTACTAATTGCCAAAGAGCATCCAAAGAAAAAGATGGCTCTGGTAATTGACCAATGAGGATCTTTTTTGAAACTATAAAAGTACACTGAAAATAAAAATCCTATTAAGAAATTTAAGTACAAGCATTTCTGGGGCAGTATGGACCTTTAAGGATGAGCATACTATATCTTTAATTTGGATGCATAATACATATAGGTGAAATCAAGATAAGTAACTCCCGTTGACCTCTTGCAATACTATATTCTGTGTACTTTTCACGTTAATTAAGCTGTTAATAGAGGTATATAAATGTAAAACCTGCTATTTACCTGTCAAATACTTGACAAGTAACGCGTCACATGATATATGTAAATTTAGACATGTCAGGTGACTAACGTAACGTAACAACGTAACGTGTTTCTGCTTCATGTTTGACAGTGTATGCAGTCTGAGCTTCAGAAGTTGATAAATTTTAGAGTGCTATATGCTACTGAGTGAATGGAAATAATTCATACATTATCAGGTATTTACGTATGTTTAGAATTATATTGAATTGGTATTGGTATTTTTGTTATAAAGAAGCAAGTATTTAAAAGTTTTAGGAATAGCAGAAATACATTGTCATTTTAAACGTATGGACTAAGGAACAGGTACGTGATGCAATATATTGAAGATAAGCATCTAAAGTTTTTATATTCTCCAATGCGTATGCGATAACAGTTTATTGTTTGTTTGTTTGTTTGTTTGTTCTTTTTATTTTGGTGGTATTGTGGGGTTGGAGGTAGAGGCGAAATGCGAAATGCATAGAAAAAATGAACTGAAAGCACACGATGTTGATATAGAAAAAAGTATATTATGCATGTAACTTTTTCAAATAAATCCGAAATTACCTCCTTTAGGAAAGTGGCAGTTAACATTTCGTAATATTTTTGTTTTCATATTTTTTCTTTATCTTTGTCTGAAACGCCACATTTTCACCTATAAAAAGTATAAATAAACATTCTGTTAAAGATATCATAGAAAAGAAAAGTAGGGTTCAAAAGTGATATGAATTTGTGATACAATATCAAAATTTGTATATAATTGAATTTTAGCTTAGTGTATCATAAATTATCGTTCCGAAAATGATAATTAAATACTGTTCTACAAACTTTTACTTACGTGTACACTTACAAATATACATATGCAGGCAGTATGTAATGTAAAACACGAGAACGTTAAAAAGGCACGATTTGATACCGCAATCCACTTGATCTGAAATATTCATTTTGCTTTTACCGAAATCCAACAATGTAGTTAAGCGCCATAAGCCTGTTAAGTTGTCATATTGGTACATTTACCTACTTGTATATTGACATGTAACTGTGTGGATATAAATCACCTTGTCTCGTTTGTTTGATGTTCACCTTGACCTGATGCTCCTCAATCAATCACTTATGCATATAATAAACAGAAATAAAATACATTGCATATTACCATACATCAACGTTGACGTGTCACGTGTCTTTATAAATTGTGGTGGTCACGAGGATGTTTGTGTTTAAATGAGCGCGCCACGTGAATTTTATAATGAATTATTTAATTAAAACGAACGAAACAAAATGCCATTTATTTGCATTTATTTAGGAAGTCTACAATTGTGTTATAAGACAATAAGCATTGATGAGCCTTTGATGAAAAATAAATGTCTTATCACAGTTTGTTTCCTTAGACTAGTATTTTCATTCTGTTTTATGGCAGAAAATAACGGCATTGCATTTGCAGCCTTACTAAAACCGGCTCTTTCACGTTTGGTGATATCTCGATCTGCATAAATCAGAGCCCTCGACACTTCTGCTGTAGAGCCGTCATCCAAAACAAATCTGAAGAAGCTAAACGCAGTTTCTGAAAAATATCCATTTTAAAAGGAATATGCTTTTTTCCAAAATCGAATGCTGCTATGCCACGTAGAACATTTTTCTCACATCGTTTCTGGTGTTTTGGTCTAGGGCTCTATAAGGGATTTGTATTTGAATTTATTTATACTCGGCGCCGGAATAACTATATGTCCTATATATCATCCTTGCCGGTCCACTATGGAAGTCTCATCGGGGACGTCTTTGTCAAGCTGAATCTTCCTGGTAGCCCATTCTTTGTTCGTTGGTGGTAGAGGAGACGACAATACTGTCAAGGCATCATGTTCCTGACTGACGATAACAAAAACTGCTCTCATTAGCGCCAACCCTCCAGAGTTAGTCACGACAGGTCAACCAGTCACCTCTGGTACTTAAGATGACTTGACCTTGACCTGCCGTGTGCCTTCTCCGCAACGTGCACGCCTCTGGGGGGAATGGAGAAGTCTATAAGGAAAGTGTCGATGGCTCTTATTTAAACAGATCACCAAAATGTGAAAGAGCCAGCATGTAGTAATGGCGACTTAAGTTTTGTCTCATTTAGGAGACATCCGACACTTCTATTTAGCATCCAATAACCATTCTTTTGGACTATAATTCCAAGACTAACAATTTCTGACCTATGATATGTCAAGTATTTTGAATCAGTTTAAAATAAAGTTAAAAAAACAAACAAGAATTTGTATCTGTTTCAGAAATGGTATGAAATACTTATAATTTCGGACTTGACTTTGGAATTTGTATCCATGCTTTTGACCGTAATCAATGTGCCAGCAAATAAAATATTCGTTTAAATTAAACAATGAAAGAAAAAATCATTTGAAGGATGATAATATCATCAAAACTAGAGGGTCACTTAACAGTTTATAAAACCCTTTAAAATGAAAATAAATAATTGTGAATGTACTGGACATAATAAGTTATTCAATCCTAAACATATTTTCATTGAAAGTCAGGAATCATGTCGAATCTTATGTACTTATCATACAGCAAATGCTCAATACTTTTTTCAAATGTGTACGGCATGTTTTCCAACAATGATTTCGCTTTCTGTTCTTTAATCGAATTATTTAAAGCCAGACAAAGTACATTTTGTATATTACTGTTTCTATGTATTTTAACTCAATGAATCAGGAAAGACCCTCCGCCAAAATTTAAAATACATTTAGTTTATCATGATATTTTTTAGTTTAAAGTATAGGTAAATATTTACTCATGGTGATATTTTTTTTTTTTTTCATTTTAATTTCAGAATGAGATTAAATGGACTGTACGAATGTGTTGAACGAAAGATTGGCGGCGCGTTTGCGCGTTACGGAAGATTCGTTGCTGCGCATGCGTGGAAAATCATCATAGTTGCCATCATTGTCAATGGAGCGCTTGGTGTCGGAATGATGAGACTGAAATCAAACATTGAAGCTGAAAATGTATATTTACCTCAAGGTGTGTATGCCGAAAGAATATGTCATTTATTGCCTTGTATCATATAATTATCAGATATAAGCCTATATACATGTATTTTGCCTAATTTAAGTAGCATATCGTACTGCTGGTTAATTTTGTTTGAAAAGAAACTTAAATGTTGATACATTTATATTACGTTTTCATGTTTATAAGGATTTTTTGCTATTTCAACTGCACAAAGACACAGTTGCATGAAAGATGTATTAAAAACTACATCTATCGTAACGTTACTATGTATAGATTTAAGAATTATCAAAATTTACATGTCTAAAGGAACCCAAGCCCGTCACGATGTACAGAGAATGAAGAGAATGTATCCCGACCTCAGCGGATCGAACTTCAACTCCCTGCAGCTGTTGCAAGATGGGGCATGGGCCAAGGTTATAATAAAATCTAACTATGGTAACCTGATGAACAGAACAGTGCTGGAAGAAATACGTGAACTGAATAATGCTATACAGAACATTACAGCAATTGGCAAGGATGGAACGCGTATCAAGGTATCAAAGAATAAGTATACTTCGGGAATCTTCGTGTTTTTTCGGTAAATCACAAAATCACAAAATAATTTTGCTGCCAGTTAAATTGTAAGTGATAAAGGCAAAATTACAATAACAGATGAGTATTTTACTGTATTTTTTTCAGTAGCAGGGTCTTCAGATTTTGTCTTGTTGTCTTAAAACATTATTAATTTCTGTTCACTGAAGATATTACAGATTAAACGAGCCGCGTCACGACAAAACCAACATTATGGGTTTGCGACCAGCATGGATCCAGATCAGCCTGCGCAATCCGCGCAGTCTGATCAGGATCCATGCTGTTCGCTTACAAATCCTTAACAAGTAGAGAAACTGACAGCAAACAGCATGGATCCTGATTAGACTGCGCGGATGCGCAGGCTGGTCTGGACCATGCTGGTTGCAAACCCATTATGTTTGTTTTTTCGTGACGCGACTCATTTTAATCTCACTTTTACAGTATTCCGACATATGCGCTAAAGTAAACGACCGTTGTGATGTTGATGGAGAACTGTTTTGGGACCCGGAATTTCTGGCCGCCGTCGACACAAACAAGATTACATATCCCAGGTTTACAACACCGACTGGAACCACTAACTATAAATCCGATATAGGAGGTTTGTAATCATGTATAGCATATTAAAAAATAAAGATTCATGCTAATTTTCCTGAAAATTTTAAAATGTATTTAAAAGTAAAATATTGTGAATCGAACAAAGAAAATAATTTACACATTGCACACATCACTTGCATCGACGTAAGGTCAAAATAAGAAGAAAAAAAACAGCCCTTACTTCGTTAGAAGCGCGGCAGAAATATGGTGATAAATACTGCAAAATCAGGCCTTTATCGTATATAGCATGTAAATTATTAATTGAATCTTTTTAATTTTCTTAAAATCTTTGTACATTTTTCTGAAATTTATTTTTGTTGAAATATTTTGGCTCATCTAGGGCCATGTAGCATTAATGTTTCATTGGATGATATGTTTTTCAAGCTCTGATAGGAAGACTACATTTAAAAGGCAGTATTACAGTAAAGCCTCACCCAAACAGCCCGGTTTGGCTCTCTATATGAATTTATATTGTTTGAAACATCGGGATCATTGCTTGATCAACCCACCTTTCCCTTTAAAATCGAGTCATGATAGCTCAACGGGTAAGGGGACATTTTCTTGTAATCTCTGCCAACCAATGATTTGTGAGTTCGAATCCAAGATGGAGTGTCTGTGTTGTTGTTCAGTAAATTAAAGACTATGGCTCTGAGCACTTATAAACAACTCCCAGCTCCTTCCGCTTCTTCATTTGAATAGTGTGGCGCACCGACACAGTTTACGTTATATGGCGCCGAAACAAGAATAATATTATGAGTTTTGCTAACCCCGGGTGATACAAGCTTAAAGTAACACCAAGGAGACAAAACCACCTCACCTGCTGGTGATAATAGATGCATAGACTTCCAGTAATTCAAACTCATTCAGTGGTCTTTAGTCGCTTGGTTAAACCCATTAAGTCGCCTCTTACAATCACGCAGGGTTAAATGGTGGCTGCAATTCTGATTCCCCAAACCGAAAAGGCAACACCTCAGGCCTTAATTTCAGTTATCTTATCTTCTACACCAGGTACGATAGTGACAGACGACAATGAGAATTACCTGCTTAGTGCTGAATTCATCAATCTTGACTACATCATCAGAACTGACAATGATAAATACACTAAACTTGCTGAAATTTGGGTAAATATATATTTGTATTTTCAATTTTAAACTTCCGCCGCGTCTGTCGAATACTGATTATCTAAGGGAAGCTATCTTAAGCTTACTCGCATGAACTTTGTTATAAAACTTTAATATCAGTTAAGACTTCTTAAAGATTTTTTTTTCTTAGAATTCAATGCATTAATATTTAAGATTGGAAATATGCTGCGATATTAATTTGTGCTAACCCAACTTAAGATTACAATATAGTCAATTTCAATCATATAGCATTCAGAAATGTTTAATAAGTTTTTAAACATTGTATTATCTGTATAACATGATAACAGATTATTCCTATAACTTTCTATCGAATTTCTGGCTCAGTTACAAATGAGCATTTCTAGCTTTATGAAACTTGTACATACATGTATGTAGCCATAGTTAAAAAACTGTAAAAATGTTTTTATTTTGATTATTTCTGTTAAAGGTGGATGATTTTAAGGCGTATATGGAGACCTTCCAGTCGGATAATTTTGATATTGCCTACTCACATTTTAATTCAATGGACGAGGAATTGGACAGGAACATTAAGGGAGATATTACACTGTTTTCTATCACAATGACCTTAATGATAACATACGCATGCGTGGCGACCTTATCATCCAGGTTGGTTTGTTATCTAGTCACATTATTTTAGTTATTGTATGGCAACAAAAACAAGCGATGTTTTATTCCACTTAGCAACATTCTGTGCCCGGCGTTTCTTCTAGAAACATACTACGGCAAATTGGGCAAGTGCCTGGCATTTATGGCGCCAAGTATATTTGTATTCAAAAGGCTATACCCAAATATGCCCAAACCTCATTGAGTGATGTAAGGACTGGGTTGCGAAATCCAAGTAGTATGAAGAAAATACCACCTGTCAAGACTGGTCTTGTCATTTGAAAAAAAAAACTGTCAACATAAATCTTTTTTCTGCTTTTCTTTAAGATGATTTTATAATTTTGAAAACGTTTTCCTGGATTACTACGACAATGTTCTTGATATGCGCATCCCAACAAGAGTACATGTAAATAATTATAATGTTGAAAATAAACATAACGTTTCTGTGTTTTTATTGTTTAAAGAATATACTAGTATGCTTTTAATTGACAAAAATAATCGTGTATATGTATTTGTTTTGTAGAATTACAGACCAAGTTGGTCAAAGAATGTGGCTAGGTTTTGGGGGCGTTTTAACTGCTGGACTAGCTATTGTGTCCAGTTTTGGTCTTTGTGCTGCTGTTGGTGTGCATTTTGTTAGCATTGTTGGTGTTATACCTTTTCTGATCATGGGTAAGTTATTAACATATCGATTATACACCACATACGATTTATAATTACATAAACAATAACACGATAATAATAGATTCTATTTTTATTCGGAACGTTTTGCCATTTTACGTTTTTTTCTTAATGGTTATAAGCCCTAATATTGTCAAGAATGAAGCTCAATCTGTTCTGAATGAAACATTTGATATGGAATTAAACAAAATGTTTAAAACTTTTAACTTTATAGATCAAAAGTTATATGTATGACATGTGCTCATTTTCAACAGTAGACCACATCATTTTAACTGTTTTTGGAAAATATCTGCATCTAAATTATTTAATGGAAACTTATTGTTTTTTATTCATCGTAATCAGGTATTGGAATCGACGATATGTTTATTTTATTGTCTGGATTATCTGGCGCTCAGATCCACAAAACCGTTGAAGACAAAATGGCGGCCACGATGAGAGCTTCCGGTGTAGGGATCACAATAACCTCCCTTACTGACCTTATTGCATTTATGGCGGGAGCAGCTTCGAATTTCATCGCTGTGAGAAACTTCTGTATTTATACAGGTACATAATTATCAATATTAAAAGATTTGACAATATAGAAGAAATAAAGTAAAAGGATAAATTACAAAGATTTGAAAATGCATAAGAAATATAGTAAAAAACACACATTCTGTGATAATCTTATATTCGTAGATACTTATTATATGCGTCTTGAAAATCTTAATGTAAGTACCACATCAAGTCTATAACTATATGCTAGGACCACAGCGACAGCGATTTCTTGAATAAACTATACTGTGCTACTTGTCAGAAAATATGTGAGACAACAGTTTGTTATTTATTCTTACCAGTTTTATCTTTATGTTTTAGGTGCAGCTGTCATTTTCTGCTATCTGAATAACGTGACATTCTTTGCGGCGTGTATGGCAATAAATGAACGCCGGGTTCAAGACAACCGCCATTATGGATCATGTAGGAGAATCAAAACTAAAGAGGAATTAAAAGAGGAAGGACAATCGGACAGATACATCATGTGTTGTGGTGGAAGACCGCCAACCAACCGTGATGAGGCCGAGAGTTTCGTCGACAAACTTCCTCGGTGGATTATACCGAAAATTGTTCTGAAAACGCCATTTAAGATCGGAATTATTGTGCTATTTATGGCGTACCTCGCGGCTTCCATATACGGGTGTATCAATTTAAAGCAAGGACTTATTTTTACACAGTTAGTGGCTGAAGATTCATATTATTTTAAGTTTGCCGACTGGAAAGAGCAATACTTCACTCGTCAAACACCGGTTTCTTTTGTAGTAACGAAAACGTACAAATACTCTGATCCCGATACGCATGCGCTGATAGAGGATCTGATTATAAATGCACAATCAAATAGTTACTTCGATAACACATTCGAGGTAAACTGGCTAAAAACGTATAAAGCTACATCGTATTATGAAGACAGCAGTGAAAAGGAATTCATTGCAGGATTTTTACGTTTTATACAGGATACGAAATATGCCTTATTCGAAAATGACGTAATTGTAGACAGGACCCAATCAAAAATCGTTACGTCACGCGTATACGTCATGTCCGATGATATGGTTGACAGCCAAGCAGAGGGAAATATGATGTTAAAATCAAGAGAGATTGCAAACGCTGCAGAAATAGAATGTTTTGCCTTTTCTCCGTACTTTGTACCTTATGAGCAGTATGTAGCTATATTGGGTCAAACACTAAAGACTGTCGGTATAGCTCTTGCAGCTGTTTTTGTGGTCACGTGTATCTTTATGCCACATCCGGTGCTGATTGTCTTCGTGACTGTCGCTGTTGCAATGATTATGACCGGTGTATTTGGATTCTTGATTTATCTTGACGTGGCTTTAAGTTCAATTACAATGATCCACTTGATAATGAGTATAGGATTTTCTATTGACTTTACAGCACATATATGTCACGGTTATATGATCTCAGACGGGAAATCACGAGATTTAAGAGTCAAACAAGCGATTGACAAAACTGGAGCTCCAATTTTTCACGGAGCAATTTCATCAATCCTTGGAATCATTGTGTTGGTTGGTGCAAAATCTTATATTTTTAGAACATTCGCTGCGGTCATGTCATTTGTCTTACTGTTTGGTATTGCGCATGCGCTATTACTACTTCCTGTTATTTTATCATGGCTTGGACCTGGTCGATTAAACGCCACTGAAGACAGTGAGAATACTGAGATTGGCACCAGTGAAAGTAAAGGTGCCGACCTTGTGAAAATGACAAATGGTAAATATTCATTTGATAAACAGGCTTGAAATACAGAATCAGATTGAAAATAATTTCAAAATAAATTTTCAATATATTTTAAGCGCGATTTATTACATATATACATGATTTTTTTATAAATAAATTTATTGTTGAACATTTTGTTTTGTTAACTATTCAATATAATATTAATATATGCGGCTTTATCCCAGATGTGAGCAATCTTTTGTCACAAGTTTTACAGCGACCTCTCTGCTTTAATGTTACAACTTAGAGTGGTGTTTGGTTCTACATATCTTTTATGTCAGTCAGCCAATGCTATTAAGCTCATTCGCCCCTAAAATAACGGAGGATTTTTCATGGTGAGACATTATTGTCAAATAATAAACACAAATGGATACATTTAAAATGCATGTACATTTTATATACCATTATCATCAAAGCATATAGTGGTCTAAAACCAACCAGTAATAGGGGTATGAACGTATTTGTTAGTAGGATGACTTGCGAAACAATCTTTCAATGGTTCGAGTGTCAAATAGATTGTTCCCATCTTTATTCTTGATAAGATAGCATTGCGAATTTTTATATAATTTATCTAACATATAGTCGTAATCAAGGTGATCAACACACACGACATAAAAAGATTTTATTTGGTATTAAAGATCAAGGAGCGTAAAATAAGAAGTTATATGCCATTTACGTGAGCATACTAAATTATTGTTTGAGATGTCATATTACTGCTTACGTATATTCTTAGTTCTAAACTTTATCTTACTGCATCCAACAGTTCGATACAGTCAAACATATGTTAAAGACCATCTACGAACAAAAACCACTCAGTAAATAAAGGTCACTTAATGAAACTCATTCATATCTACAAAGAACTATGTAACCTCCAAATAAAGTTCATTTGTCTATAAAGGCCCTGTTTGCTCTCTCCCATGGGCGACCTTTGTTCACAGTTTTGACTGAACTTGGAAATATATGTTATAAATGCATGCTTCTGGAAATGGTGATATACGATTCACATTTGTGTTTATCAATTTTATTTTGTTTGAATAAGGCATCAGATATCTTCCATTGTAGTAACGCTTTTCATAGAGAAGTTTGCCATTAATCACAAATTTAAAGTATTTAATCGTTTTCCATTTCGATAAATATAAAGTATGACATACATATTTACTGGTCAATTATTACAAAATAGACAAGCAAGCACATTTACAAAATATTAAACGTAGAAAACAATACATAATTTTATCACAGTGTATGTACGTCGTCATTTGCATAAAGCCAATCGATTTATGCAATAGAGGGCGAGTTCTCGCCAGAAATGTAATTAATTATCTCTACCGAGAGCCCATACATTTTCGGCTTACTTCGGCACTTTCCGAGATATGTTATATAATTGAAAAGCTTCTAGATGACAAGACTCTTTAGACTCCTCCTAGTCTTACAAACGCTGAAACATCCTCGAAAGTTAAGATAATTGCATATACATGCCAATTTTACGAGGTCAATTTCTTTTAACATATTTTTTCCTGTAATCACAATTAATGTTATATAAATTATCAATTCTGTCTCATTGTTTTTTCTGATAGTGCTTCGCAACATAGCACCACAAACATTATATATTTACCGAGATACTTGTCAGTAAGACACAAAAAGGGGGCCGTCAAACTGACTAAAATGCAAAAAGAGCATAAATGCGAACAATATCCTGTTAAGGAATGCCCGGATGTCAACTCAGCGTATGTCATTGAAGATCATTCATTCCAATGAATCTTTCCGGTGCAAGGAGTACAATTTCGAATACCTTCGGGCTTTTGATTTTTTAACGGATGACATGGAAGTAACAATATCAAATAATTTGTTGGGTCTATCATAACCTTCTTATGTTATCTAATGCTTCAAGTATTTTATGTACGACCTGTATCCGACCCCTTTGTCTTTTCGGGGAAACACATTCATTGAGTAAATATTCAAGGTCCCATTCCTCGTTGACATTTTGCGGAATATCGTGAAGCAGTCCATTTTTCAAACTTTGACCTTTATTATTATAGTGTCTTGTCAGTATATACCGGCAGATGGCGTAATAGTTATGATCTGAAGTCATGTGACTACATAAATTAACTTCGGAAAAGGAATGGCATGATTTAAAACTTTTTCCTGGACAGTCGACAAAAACACTTTCATGGACATCTTGCCATCCCGGAAGTTTAGCTGAAATAAGATTAAATAACGTGTTCAAATTTCATGGTTTCCAAGTCACCGTTTTTAGTAAGTTTGAATAATTTACCATAACTGTTTTACACTTTCGGCTTACATATTTCGTCTTCAGCAAATATCGAACTTTCCTAATTTAAGAAAGACCACAAGATTATATGCATTTCAAGTAAAGGGAAAGCAAATGGCTTAGACATTTCTTAGATTTCAATGCTGGCTTTACAGTGTTGCAAAATCTAAATAAATCGATTGATACAAAAACGCTATTGAAATGGGGATATTAGTATCTCTAAAATAAGTAAGAAGTTTTTTTATATCAAACAGGAGCTCCGTCAGCCGAAGCAATTTAAGTCCGAGGTATACGCTGTAAAATAAATGCAAACAATTGAAAAAATAAATATATATAAAGTAAACAACCAGATCAAGTTATTGATCAGACAAATTACTTCTCATGTTATTGAGCGAACATGGATTTCCCACTTAATTTCACTGTGACCTTCACATTTGTTCTAATTAACTTAAAATCAGAAGTGGTCACCTACTGACCATTGGTTATATCCCTACCATGTTTCACCAACTAGACGTATTTCTGCTCAAGAAGATATCGAGCGGCCATTGAGCGGCCATTGATATTCAACTAAGCGTAACAGTGGCATTGACCTTTGATCTACTGACATTAGGATCTACATGAACGTCCTCCTTAATAATTATGATTTATCACTGAAAATGTTCAAGCTTTTTGGCGCACATCGATATGGCGGACAGATGGACACATATTTTTGGACTTTTATTTCTATATCTATATGTTGTATTCTTCTAATTTACCATTAAAACTGGTGGTTAATGTGGTTTTCTTCTTTCACTTAAATTGTGGACGGAATAAAGCTCGTAAACAATTGGATTTGGCCCAGACCGACAGATAGATGGAATGACGTATAAACCCAATACCAAAATACGACAGCGGTTACCTTAGGGCGTATATACAAATAAATAAGTATCATTACAAAGGTTTTTGTATTTTCTAATCGCAAGATCAGTAAATACATAGCTAACATCCACGGTCTAACACAAAATTTCCTAACTGACCTAACAACGCAAATTAGTTCTCACTCAAAAACTGCTTAAAAACCAGCAATTTAAAAGACAAAATAAAGTGCATTGAAAGTTCAGATTAGTCAATAGAAATATGAGGTTACAATCACAAATTTGCGGATGAATATCATTTTAATCAATGAAAATGCTATTTTTAGCTATGTCGATTACTGAATACTCCAAGGTACACAAATAAATCTGACTGCCGAGTAGTGGAATATATACATGTCAGACTGTTTTGGCGAGAAGATTTTCGCTAAATTATTTTTATCAGTGTTAAACAGGTTTATCGTGAACAAAATAACTCGAAATTGATAAGGATTACAAACACGAAATGGAAATTCTCAATTTAGAATTACAATGTATTTGTTTTTATTCAGACTACATATTACGTATTACTTCACCTGGTGCAGGGGTATCGCGCTCGTATCGCGCTCGTTTAGGGTGTGAGAGGCCTAAGGTTCAAATCCTAGTCGAGGCAACTATTTTTTTAGTGTCCTTTTTAAGGAAGTAGCCACGATATGCAAGGGTAAAGTGTGGCTGTCATAATAAATGATTTTTGATGCAACTCCATATGTATCAATCTCAAACTGTTATAGAAAAAAAATCTTAACGCAGTCGCTGCGTAAGATGAATTATAGTATATAAAAATAAACTTATATATAGGAAAATACATACAGATAGTCAGTATGATTTAGATTGCAAAGATCAGAAAAGAGCTTGCAGCCCTTTGATTTACTATGCATTTGTTAAATTTTAAACTGTTACCGGATTTGACGGCTAATTTATCTACGACTAGTACGTCTTCCAGATCTATCAACGTCACTTTGCCGTCATCATTCACCGCGAAGTTATCATCGGTGACGTCAGTGAGATAAAGGGCAAAGTCAGCCTTGTTATTTGTGAGCACATCTGCTATCTTTACCAGCTTGTAAGCTATATCTGCCTGAAAAGAAGAAATTTCAAATAATATTTTGGTCACATACTTGCATTAGTTTCGAATAATATTACTTTGTAGACTACTGCAGCGTACCTGAGCTTGAAAGTTATATTCTCGAGCCTTTCGTGGTTCCCAAAGAGAACGTTCGAGTATATTCATGACAGAAACGTTGGCACGTTTTATTACGTCATTTAGATGACGTCTGTAAACCTCTAAACATTAAGTAAACTATTTGGTTATAGTTGATTATAGTTAAACAAATTTCCATTAGCTTTCTTTAATCACCATATATCAAGATATTAATACATATAATATTTATTGCGTTATCCGCAGGCACTTCGGGCCTGATTCAAAATCCTAACATCAATGGCATTCGAATGCACGCCTTTAAAAATAAATAAACAAATTCCATTGGTAAACACTTATCATACAAATCATAACAAATTACGCTAGTTCTTTAAAAAAAATCATGATATATCATAAATTATTATGTTTTGACGTTCATTGCATTATTTTGACTTGGCGACGGGCTTTGAGCCACGCATACAAAAAACGTGCAACAACGGCAAGTGATTTTCATAGTTTTCATCTTCATATGTATAGCTGTGTGTGCTGTTCTTTTTATGCAAGAGTGTCATTCAAATGTTTTCTTTACATTCATGATAACTTTACTCTTGTATGTGCATTGTGGACGTTAGTTCATTTTGAAAATTAATTTTCTACGTCAAAACAAATGATTACACCCAGTGAAAAACTTTCTCCTTTGTGATACCAACTAAATAAATATACATTTGAGCCGTGTCACGACAAAACCAACATAATGGGTTTGCGAGCAGCATGGATCCAGACCAGCATGCGCATCCGCGCAGTCTGATCAGGGCTCATGCTGTTCGCTTACGAACTCTATAACAAGTAGAGAAACTGATAGCGAACAGCATGGGTCCTAATCAGTCTGCACGGATGCGCAGGCTGATCTGGATCCATGCTTGTCGCAAACCCATTATGTTGTTTTTTTTCGTGACACGGCTCATTTGACTTACCCTCGCTGACCAATTAGCGTTATAAAATTCAGATAACGGTTTTCCTCCGTTTCCCACAGCAACGTATCGGCCACAAGCTCCAAAATACTCCGGAAAAGGCCAACCATCTGCTACCGGAAACATCTGTAAGAAAATCAAAATCAGAAAAAGTAAAACATCCGTTGAATACGTCACTTCCTGTATATTTGGATGAAGCGTGTTGATAAAGTAATCATTGTAATACCGGCAAACTTTGGATGATTATCGTAGAAATTACATGGAAAGCAATTTAACTTGTTAATATTTTCTACTTCATAATCTTTAAAATGAACTTTTCTTTTCTTTCAATATGATTGAATAAATTAATATATAGAAACATTCTCTCAATGACTTTTCTAGAGCTTTAAATTTCTAGACTTGTGGCTACAGTTGTCCACTGAGCCGCTAATGAAGTAAAAGAGTTAATAAAGTTGTACCTACCTGTAATAAGAGTGGCTCTTGATTGATGACAGCCGTTGACCAAATTTTGACCCTATCCCTTACCATCATTTCATCGTCGGATGACCTTTCCTTATATTTGCTAAACAGTTCTGATACGAGTCTTGTGGACGGACAGAAAAACATTTTGGATGACCCTCGCAGATATTTTGCGAATTTAGAATCATCTCCACTTTGTTTGACAAATGACAATCTTGAAACGGCAAGAGAAACGTCACAGTTTTCCGCCATCTTGGCTTTTGAACAAATTAAAGCGTCTAAGTCACTGAGATCATGGTGCGTTCCAAGCTTTTTAAGCACAACTTCCTGTTTACCAAGATTTTTAGTATTCAATGTTGCATGATGAATTCGTTCAGCATTAGTTCCAAAAATATCAAGAAGTCTTACTTTAGCTATGTTTGAAAGCTGAACTTGATTTTTGAGTAACGTTTGACATAGAGAATCGCCATAACAAACCGGACATTTGTTTATTTCCACAAAATTATACTGTCCCAAATAATTCTCAGTAAAAATCCAGTATAAACTTCCAGAAATGTAAAATACCAGGAAAAGGAAAAATACGAAAAGGCAAGGCAGTTTCAAACGTATAAATTTCCCAAAAGAAATCCTCATTTCAGATATTAAATTTGCTGTTACGAACATGCATGCACACCCCTTACGGACATTTTTCTCCCAAAAATGCTACAACAAGTAACAATTTCACATGCATTTGAGAGACTCCGTCTCTATATTGGTATTAAGGTTAATGGTGTTTTTTTAAGTTGATTAAATGCAACTAAGTTGATCAAATACAATTAGTAGATTAAATGTGCCTGGTTTATATCGCATGGTGTCTCTATGTGACGAGTTCGATATAGGTTCCGCACACTGACATGTCGTAAATATTGACCGGTATAGATAGAACACACTCTGGATTCTTCTCAATTCCTTCTGATTCATGTATAGTTACAGTTTTCTGGAAAAAAATTAAAATATTTAATAATTCAACAATGACAAAGTTTATATGAAAAAGGTCAGCAATTATCTCCTTTTATTTTATGCTTTTCAGTGGATTACTGATTTATCCGTGAAAATTATATTTGGTAATTTCACAGTGAAAATTATCAAAATATAATTTCACTTTTTTCAATGACGAAACTACTTTTTTAAGATTTTCCCCATGTGGTACCTCAATTTTATTTTGCTGACAATTCTGACAATGTCAGACTGTTTAAAGAAAAAGCAAAGCTGAAATAGATAAATACCTTAAACGTCAAAAGTAATAAAAAGAAGAAAACTTACTTCTATTCATTCAAATTCCAATCACCAAATTTCGTCTCTAAATTTTTTGTTTCATTTTTACAGTCTGAAAAATACATTACATCCACATGCAAACTGCTCTTGATGACATTTGGGCATATTAAAGTATCCTACGAGTAATAACTGCCGTATGCTTTATGAAAAATTGAACAGCAATGACAGCTACAGCTCGTAGAACAAGTAAACCACCCAGCGTTCCGAGCAAGTTCCAAGTCTTCCATTTTCATAGCTGCTTTTTTCATGTTTTCACATCTGTCAACACTTATTTTTTGTCTGTTTCAATCCTCAAATATGTTTTCTTTCTTTTAAAAGTGTGTATGACTAACAATTCCAAATGATATCCCTCTGAATCAAACACAATTATTTTCCTCCCGTGAAATACACAACTTTAAAAAATGGCTGCCGCTTACATTTAACAAAGCCAGGTCTAATATAAATTCGCAGTAAGTAACAGAAATATGGATGGATGGTTGGAATTTTCTCCTACACGAATTGTTTGTTTTTATTATTAAAACAAGCGATCATTCATATTTTTTAAACAAAATAAATAATATCACTGTCATTTAATGTTGATTGTCGGACTTATTTTTTAGCTCAAGACTTCTTGTTTTTAATGAGAAATTCGCACGAAATTGGGCTCTCAATGGGGAAACAGATTTTAATATTTATGTTAATATTATGGAAATTTCGTTTAAACTTGTTTTTTAGCATAAAATAAAAAGAAAATTTGTTTGTTGTGTAAGATGTAATTTTATTTCATCTCGTGAACTTTAAAAACAGTATTCTCACTCGTGGCTACGCCACTCGTGAGAATACTGTTTTTAAAACCCACTCGATGAAATAAAATTTCATCTTACACACAAACAAACAAATATCCTCTATATGTTTCACATGTAATGGTTATATTCAATACAATACAATACAATACAATACAATACAGTACAGTACTGCACTGCACCGCACTGCACTGCACTGCACTGTACTGTATTGTACTGTACTGTAATGTATTGTATTGCTAATTTTAATCAGCGTTGTGATTTGTTCTAACTAAACACAATTTAAACAAATTGTTTGTAAATTCCACAAATTAATTTTGCGCGAAATATGTGTGTTTTACAGCAAATGCACGTGTAATTTTGTTATGAACGTATTAGTTAATGGACTGTGAATATATCATCTAAGCGTGAACAAAGTAGATATGTAAGAAAACATTTGTATCATAGAAACTCGCAATAAAAATGTTATTTAAGCTAGATACTAGTAGATAGGTATGTGAAAAGTTGCGCATGACATAGAATACACAACATATGTACTGTATTATATAAGAAACACGCTTACATTATTTTATTACCCACTACTATATGCAAACATTCCATCTTAGATATTGTACAAATTACGTTCCTATAAACTGCTTGACGCATTTTTTCTATGAATAAAAATCCTTAATAACAAAACAGCTTTAAAATTTACAATTATCCACTGTAATTAAGTTTTCATTTTTAAAGTTGATACACTTATCTAAAATATTCTGTAAAATAATGTGTTGCAAAATAAGCCCCTTACATATAATATTTCATAGTTTTAGCAAGCATAGGTAATATAACATAAACTTATACATCACGAAATTCATTTCAAATCAGATTAAGTATCATGTATCAAGTAACGAAGTAACTAATAAGTTTACATACTGTGTGTATAAACTGTGTAACCATATTCCATGTTATTTATCACGCAATAACATTGCAAGCAAATTACAAAATGCACTTCTCGCAGACTCTCAGGTATGCAAGTCGCACGTGCATATACAAATGTTCTATTTATAGACCTTCGTTAATTTTGATTGGACAATACATTTTCATTGGTAATGACTGACATATCGTCAATATTGCTTTCTTCGCAAATATGGCTGATAATTCTCTTTTATTATTATTTGCTAATACACCGCATTTTTTTACATCACATACATCTATATGTCGGGGTATTAGTACCGTGGAAAGGTTACGTGAAGGCAAGAAACACGAACCTACCATGAAATAATTATTCTAAATGGCTGTTTGGTAACATTTTTCACCAAGAAATAATACAAATTATCACTTGTATAATAATGCAAAGAAAATTCTCTAATTCTGATTGGCTGAAACACCTTGTGAACTATGCCGTGTATTTATATATGTTTTATTATTTTTAACTGGTCACCAATAACACTTTGTATTGTACAAGTTACTTTACCTCAGTCAGGCTATATTTGACAAACATATCAGAATGATTAAAGAAGAAAAAAACACACATACACACATACGATGTGTGACACATACAGATAAATAATCAACTTTTGAAAAACTCCAAAAAAAAACTCATGACATAATATTTCTTGTAACAATATACCAATTTGCTTGAATCCACCAGCTCAATAGTTCTAGCTTAGTTACGCATTAACTATAAACTTTCGCATTACATAACCTATTAATAAAGGCTCGAGAAGTTGCTGTCGCCCTTTCACAAAATCTGATTTCATTCCATACAGGGGCGCCGCGCTTCGGCGCGGACGCCAAAAACTTTAACAGGACTCAACGAAGATATTATTGCTGAAAGGTTAAAATTGCTGATCCTCACAGTCGTGCAAATCCAGTCAGACACAAAGGAATTTGGTCATATTTTCTCATCTATCCCGCAATTGTTTGCAGATCGATCAAAAGGTGGCACCCAGACTGTTAACAGGATATTCAGCGGAAAACGTGGGGTGCTCACACCTGTGACTGACTACCTTAAATGCATGTTTGATATTTTCTCACCAAGCTGGAAGAAACCGGTGGGTCGCTATATTACATAATTAAACAGTGTCAATGTATGGTGGCTTATTTGGAATGCCTTTGTGCGTCTAGTTGGCGCTAGCGACAACACGACAAAGCGCCAAACGGCGCGTTGTCGGACTTTCGCCTAGTCGTCCTGTCTCTAGCGCGGCACGCCTTAAGCCGCGTTGTCGTGCGGCGCGTTCTCGCGAAGTCGCCCTGTCTATTGGCTTATAAGCCAATCCTTCAAGACAACACGCCGCACGACAACGCGCCGTTTGGCGTGCCGCGCTAGAGACAGGACGCCAACGCGACGTACAAAAGCGTACCAAATCACCCACCATATCAATGTGACTGAAAACCCATACCTCAGCAACAACAGCTATAGTACGGAACGTAAAATATAGCTAAATCAGTTTAATATCACAAGTAAAAAAAATAACGAAAATCCAAAGAAATCACAGGCGTATATTTTAAATAAAAATAGAATTGGGAGCAGTCCAAGTTAATTGTTATGTCAAAGTTTAAATCCGCTGTATATATCCATGAAGCATATATCTACATGCAACATTGAACACATTAAAGACTTACAACGACGTATTTCTGTATTGTTAAAGTAAAGTATCGACATAACAATAATCGAATTAAATAAAGTGTTTAAATAATGTTAAAGGATTTATTAGGAGAGCCGTAATGACCGTAGACCGCTCATTCTGTGATTTATTGCTAAAAATTGACGTTATTCTTACATTCACAAGAAAGTAATTCGGTCACATTCAGACTTATCATTTTTTGATACCGGCGGCTTAATTTATAAAACTTTAATTGAGGTCCACTAGAAAATACAAGCCACATATCTAGAAATTGAAATATATGAGTAGATTTTTACTTTTATTTTCATGTAGCATGCAAGCGACCCAGGGGCAGGCCATTCTTTACCCCCAGAGACATTATACATCTAAGAGGTCCACCAGGAATATAACTCTGGGCATTGTAGTTTCTTTATATGTCGTTGTAAACTAAGTGGCCCGGCAAAAACCTACTTTTGGTTGAAAATTCATAATGGAGTTAAAATTATCACAACTTCGTGTGTATGACTGGTGGCATGTCTGGGGTCCGTACTCGACAGCACAACCTGCATTTGGTGCCTTAAAGGACGGATGGACCCTCACTAAACATAGAGGACAGTTCAGTATAGTATAGTGACCTCGAAAACGGAGCTTTTTATTTTACCCTAGGAGTAAGACATAAATATATATATATACAAGAAAGGTTCTTTGAATTAGATGTTCACTTTTCGATGCAACATGCCAAATTTCTAAGTGCTTTGCTAAGTAGTTTCACACAAAAAGACTTGATGGCGCTTTTCCATATGTGTCTATATAAACTAAGTGACCCCCAAGGAGGCCATTTTTGACCTCTCCCCCCACCCACACACATCCAGGGCATTGCTTTTTAAAGTGGATCACAAGGCGATGATGGGTGCAAAATAGTTAAACTTGAAGCATTAACATTACTGAGGAGAGGAAAAGATGTTTAAAGATTACATTTTATGGCCTACTTTGAATCAGACCAAAACCATTTTTATAACTCACTTGCAACATATGGTCGCGGCAGGCCTTTAATATATTTTATCGAACTTGTATCTATTATCTGATTTATGAAAGATAAAACTACTGTAAAATCGATGTTTTGTTAACGCTATTTAAGTATATGAATACCAGAATAAAATGACATATATATCGGTCGTCTGTTTACAAAACCAAATACATCTTAATTATGTCGCGACATACATATATCAAATAAATCTTATAGATTATATACACATATTAGTATAAACAAGAAAATTAAACATGATGTACTATAG